GAGACAGAAAGACAGAAAGTGAGTAATCACCACCCAGGGGAGATGGCCACGCCGCAATCCCTTCTCCTCCATTCTCCTCTCAGGATCTTGGGCATGCACGCACATGCGTCCGGTGTGAGTTTTAAGCCACCGGGTCCGGGACTCCCACCGTGGTCAACTACATGGGAGTCCAGCCACATAGCCATTATGCTTTCTGCTGGTCCCTGACTTCATATTTTTAAGACCATTATATTTAAAATGGTCTTCCAAAGTTCATGGAGAATATATATTATGAAAAACCTATACATTAATTTTCTTTCACTTACATTTTTAAAGGAATTTTGCCAGAGGTCGTGCACTTGCTGGAGAAACAGGGAGAGAAGGAGAGGGAAAAATCACTTCTCTATGAGGTGTGGTCACACTGAGATCCCTTCTTTTCCATTTCTTCATGATGCTAGGATTTGGTATACATAGGCACACACACTCAGCAAGTTTTGCAAGCCACTGGATCCAGGGCTTAAACTTTGCAGTCAGCCCCATGGGACTCAATTCCTCTGACCACCAGGTCTTGGGCCAGTTCACTATGCATGGATTTCAATTTTTATTTGCAACAAAATAAACTATAAACCTTTGGATGTCTTCTCATAGATTTTTAATTGGTGTTTTCATTAAAGTATCATCCTTCATCCATTAATACTCCTTCTGATGGAGAATGAAGTTGTTTCCTGTCTTTTGCTACCATGGAAAGGGCTATAACGATTGCCTCTATGACTGTGAGTGAAAGTAAATGGAAGTGGAAAAACTGAAACAATGTCTACATGCAGTTGTTATGTTACAGGTGTTAAATCACTCCCTTAGACACTACATCCATTTACACTCTCACCAAAAGTGTGTAGGATCACTTTTTCTGACACTTAGGTCAGCAGTGTTTATTAACAGCTATTTATGAAAAATGCTAGCTAATTAATCTGATAAGTGAAAAAGATTCACAATTGGAATTTTAATTTTAATCTATTTAACTGTGAGTAGAACTGAGTATCCATATGCTTAATCTTTTAAAAGAAAGGTCTCTTCCCACTCAATGTACACTGAATATTTGTGCTCATAGAGAAACTGGAAGATTGGAAGGTATAATATCAGGAAAAGCAGCAATTGTTGCTAGGGACAGGATAGGAGTAGCAGGGAGAGGGAGGGGAATGGGGGGAAAAATACATTTAATTGACACAAAAATGAAAAGTTATGTGCTGACGATAATGTATTTGGTAATGTCTTTGTCTTGACTGATACGCACTATATTGATTCTGGGAAAAGCCATGCTGTACAAAGTATAATGCATAGTGATTAAATGTAATATATATATACTGTTCTTTTATAAAAGACTAATCTGAAATATCTTTACATTTCAAAAATATGGTTTTAGAGTCTGATGGTACAGTTTTCAGTACCAACTGGTCTGAGGTAGGTAAAAGAAAAGTTGAGGGACCAGCAGTTAGTGTAATGGCTATGTCGCTGGACTCCCATGTATTCGATAGTGGTTTGAGTCCCGGACCAGGTGGCTTAAACTCACGCCGGGCGCGTGTGCATGTGTGCCCAAGATCCCGAGAGGAGAACGAGGAGAAGGGATTGTGGCTTGGCCATCCCCCCTGGGGCTGCTTTCTCACTATCTGTCTCTCTGTCTTTCTGGTGAGTGCAGGTGCCCTATAGCAAAAAAAAAAAAAAAAAAAAAAAAAAAAAGTTGAAATTAATACTCCTGATGTTATAGAATGGAAGAAATATTAAATAGATTAATTTGCTATTACTTTTGCATATATAAACCTAATGCCGATTGTATATTGATATTGCATTCTTCAATTCTGAATACTGAATATCTTTTTGAAAGATTATACTTCTTTGTGCTTTAGAAATTATTTTCCTTCAGATGTTCTAAGGGTCTAATGAAGAATGAAGATCATATTTTCACATTTTTTTCCTTAAGGATTTCAGTCTTGCTGAAACTGACATATTGTTTGTTTCTAGATAGATTAGTTCTATCTAGTTTGGGAGTGGGAAAATCTTTAATGGTTATTACCTTACTTTTGATACAGTATTCTGTTGATAGTTTATTAGCCCTGACAACTTTGGGTGAGCATAGATTTTTCAGCTTCAATAATATACTGTGCTTAAAATAAAAAAAAATTTAAAAAAAACCTGCTTTTGAATCAAGTTGTAAATATAGTTTTTCTATGAAGAAGTTTGATTTTATTTAACTTTTTCTTAAAATTTTAATGAGAACTTTGAGAAATTCTTTATCACAGGGAATTCTCACTTAGTTCTTTTTATGGGAAGAATTTGTAATTCCACTGAAATTTTGATCCTTTCCAATTTGGGGTATAAAACATAAATATCTTGGGACCAGCAGTTAGCGTAATGGCTATGTCACTGGACTCCCATGTAGTTGACCACAGTTCGCATCCCGGACCCGGTGGCTTAAACTCACGCCCTGCATATGTCCATCCGTGCCTAAGATTCCGAGAGGAGAATGGAGGAGAAGGGATTGTAGCACGGCCATCCCCTCTGGGTGGTGATTTCTCACTTTCTGTCTCTCTGTCTCTCTCTGTCTGTCTGGCGAGTGCATGTACCCTGTAGCAAAAATCCTCTCCAAAAAAAACCCCATAAATATCTGAGTTTAGCACATTGCAAATTTAACTGTACTGCTGGGGCAAAGGAGAATCTAGGATAGTCCAACTTCTCCTTCTTCTTCTTTAATTTTTTGTTCAAAGAATGATTTATTATTATTTTTTATTTGTTGTTATTCTTCTTCAATTTGACCAGAGAGAGACAGCGAGAAAAAACAAAACAAAACAAAACAAACAAACAAAAAAACAAGCAATCTGCCAGGTCCAGGACTGGAACTGTGGTCAGCCATATGGGAGTTTAGCACCTTAACTGCCATGCCACCTGTCGGACCCCCAACTCCCCTTCTTAATGCTTATGTCACAATGTGATTTCTGAAATTGCAGCACTGGTGGGCTATTTGTTTGTTTGTTTGTTTGGTTGGTTGTTTTTGGTTTTGGCATCTTCTTTTCTTCTGTATTAGAAAATCTGCTCACAATTTCTCATGACTACTTTGGTATCAATTTTTATGGTACCTACAGAAGGATAAATTAATGTGTATATACTTTTAAAAAATATGTCTTTATTTGGTATATGTGCCATAAATATTTTCCCATTTGGCAATTATCTTTTGCTTTTCACTGTGCTGTTACTTGGAATATATTCAATTTATGTGATAAAGTACATAAAACGATTTGTTCAGCATTTGGCATATGCAAATAAGTAGTCCATTTCTATATTTAATTTATCTTATATCAAAATGGGATTTAAAATAACCAAGAAAAACATAGAAGAACTTCTATTGAAAGTTTCAGCTGTGACTTGGAGCATTCACAGCTTATTTTTTAAGTCTCTGGTGCTTATCCATTAACTGAAATTTAAAGAAAATTTCTCATTTTTGGGGAACCAGCAGTTAGCGTAATGGCTATGTCGCTGGACTCCCACGTAGTCGACCGCGGTTTGTCCCGGGCCCGGTGGCTTAAAAACTCACGCCGGGCGCGTGTGCGTGCGTGCCCAAGATCCCGAGAGGAGAATGGAGGAGAAGGGATTGTGGCGTGACCATCCCCCCTGGGGGGTGATTTCGTGCTTTCTGTCTCTATGTCTCTCTCTGTCTGTCTGGCGAGCGCACGCGCCCTACAGTGAAAAATCTCTCAAAAAAAAAAAAAACTAAAAAAAAAAAAAAAGAAAATTTCTCATTTTTGTCAATTATTCTCTCACTTTTTATTTCATTTTAGTCTTAATGTCTCCTTGTGCATCATAAAAACATGTTGAAGAACTCAAAAAATAACAAAAAGGGGAGACACTTAGTATGAATAATATAGTATAATAAAAACCACAAAGTTTAATCAAGTTTAAAAAGAACAAATTTCTTCCAAGAGTGAACGTACTATATAGCAAAGAAACAGAAAATACAAAGTTTAAGGGTTGAATTTAGAATGGAAAGAAATAGAGAGAACTAGAAAGTTCTAAGAGTTAAAGGAAAATAATATTCAAGGCAAGAGATTAAAGTTAACTCTGGGACCAGCAGATGGTGTAGTGGTATGTCGCTGGACTCCCTCATGGCTGACTGCAGTTCAAGTCCTGGACCTGATCTCACATTGGGCATGTGTGAGTATATGTCCAAGATCCCAGGAGGAGAATCCAGGAGAAAGGAGAAAGGGTTGCAGTGTGACCATCTTTCCTGGGGAGTTCTTTCTCACTTTCCCACTCACTGTGTGTCTCTCTCTCCATCAAGCACACCCATTCTAAGGCAAAGACTTCTAAAACAAAAGAAAGAAAAGAAAAAAAAGAAAAAGAAATATATTAAGAAATTATTCTTATGCTACAGTGGACAGACTGTCTTGCCTTTCCTTGTCAAAACTTTATTATTTCTCTCTTTCTCTTTACCTCTGTGTGATTGTGCTTAGTTTTATTAAAAAAGGCACTCTCAAAGGTTAAATAAAATGTTTAAAATAATATTTGAGAGTCCATCTTTAATAAATAATTATTACGGGAAAGTTCAAAATATTTACTAGGTAAATGTATTATAATGAGATTGTCAGGATCAAAAAATGTGGGAGCATATTGAAATAAATCATGCATGTTTTCTTTATGTTCACAACATACTACCATAATACTGATAAGTTCTTACTTACTAAAACTAATGTAACATATTTACCTCATAAGGTTATATACTCATACCCAACTCACTAAATTAATATTTCTTTTTTTGAAGAATAAAATGTACTCTTTGATTATTTTACCATTATTGTATTCTTCTATTTTTGTACAGCTTAGTAAATGTATTGAACTTTTTATTTTATTCATTAGCACACACAGAATTGTAAGTGATAACCCAATGGAAAGCCACAGTTTCATGGCTGAGAATAAATATTTGATTTCTAACTTTAGTATTCATTTCATAACTCTTCATCTTTATTCCTTTGCAGATTAACTATACCTAACCTGCAGTTTCCATACATCGCTGATTGAAATCATGCAGCAAAATAACACTGTCACTGAGTTTGTGTTGTTCGGATTGACCCAGGATCCTAAGAGGCAAAAAATGGTGTTTTTAATCTTCTCAGTTTTCTATGTGGGAACCATAGTGGGGAATATGCTCATTATTATGACTATCAAGTTCAGCCGGACCCTTGGGAGCCCCATGTATTTCTTCTTATTTTATTTGTCTTTGGTTGATGCCTGCTTTTCAACAACCACAGCCCCTAGATTACTTGTGGATGCTCTCTCTACAAAAAAAATCATATCCTACAATGAGTGCATGACACAAATCTTTGCATTGCATTTATTTGGCTGCATGGAAATTTTTGTTCTCATCCTCATGGCCATTGATCGCTATGTGGCCATCTGCAAACCCTTGCATTATCCAATCATCATGCGCCGGCAGGTCTGCATTATCTTAATTGTTCTTGCTTGGATAGGGTCTTTCATACATTCTATAGCTCAGATTTTTCTGGCCTTAAGGTTGTCTTTCTGTGGACCCAATTTGATTAATCATTATTGTTGTGATTTGCAGCCATTGTTAAAACTTGCCTGCATGGACACTTACATCATCAATCTGCTGGTGGTGTCTAACAGTGGAGCAATTTGCACAAGCAGTTTTATAATTTTGATGATTTCATACTTTGTCATCTTGCACTCATTGAGAAACCACAGTGCAGAAGGGAGGAAAAAAGCTCTCTCCACTTGCACTACTCACATCATAGTAGTCATCTTATTCTTTGGGCCGTGTATATTCATATATACACGTCCCTCAACTACGTTCCCTATAGACAAGATAGTGGCAGTATTTTATACCATTGGAACACCCTTTCTCAACCCACTCATCTACACACTAAGAAATGCTGAAGTAAAAAATGCCATGAGAAAGATGTGGCATATGCAGATTACTTCAGAAAGTAAAGGAGGAATTAAGGGCCTGGCCTGATTACTTACTCAGTCATGACTTGTCTGAGGACACACATATATCGAATATAGTAGTGTGTGAATATGATAGGAATAACTTATGGTGATAACATTTATAAGTTGTAGATTCCTGTCTTTTCTAGTTTATAGGCACAGTGAGTATCAAGACATCTTCTTTTGTGTCAAAGCTAGATAGAGGACAGATCAAGTCAAATAATTATGGGCCAATAGTCTTTCCACTTCAGATTAACTTCCTTTCTGCTCATGACTACCCACGTGCACTCTAATCTAATGCATGCAATTTCCTTACTTTTTCTCTGTGCTTCTGACTATAATCTGAGCGCTTTCCTGAAATCTTCAGTCCGGCTCTATCTTGAGAGTTCCACTGGCTAACTGCTGGTCCCATTAAATGTAGTTTTTAAAATTGAAGTGCAGAAAGGTAAAACATGGTTTGAAGTAAAAACTGGTACAGTCTATTTCATCTAAAATTGAGTGATGTCAATGAAATAAAATTACCATAGCATTTATAAACTATTCTTGACACTAGTATCTATAATGTTATATTAGTGGAATCAAGGAGAATCCATTATTGCTGCTTTTTCTTTCAACTTATATTGCAGAATGGTTGTTTAGCTCTATAGGTTAAATTTACCAGAGGAATTTTCATGCCCAAATTGGGCAGAGAAGATTAACAGCTTCATCTTAAATGTGAAGTCTATGTGTTATGTCATGATTTTTTTGTTGTTGTTTTGCCAGAGGCTATGAGCACTTGCTGGTCAGAGAGACACAGGGAAAGTGAGAAAACACACAACCACAAGGAATGGTCGCACCACAATCCCTTCTCCAATTCTCCACTCATGAATTTGGGCATCTATGTACATGAATGCACTAGGAGTGTTTCTTAAGCTGCCTAATGTAGAGTCCAGTTGCCAGTCAGTCATGTGGGTCCAGCCACTTTAAACCACCATTCCACAAGCTGGCTCATCATAAGTTTTTAATACTGATTCCAGAGTAGTAAAGCGTGTCACATCTTTAGTAACTGCTACCAGATTCCATTTCACCTTTACCCTGTCAAAGATGATTTTTTAAAACAAATACAGTAAAATAATACGAGGTTTTTGTGTGCTCAGTTTCTTTTGTATTCTAGGACATAATGAAGCCTAGTTTTAACACTGGTGACCAAAGTTGAAGTGTCATGTATGAAGAGGGCTATACTAGACCATGGAAATATAACAATTTCATCAGAAATTTAATCCCCTCCATAACACAAACTCATGCAGATACTCCCCTCCCCGACACACACACAGACTTTACTCAGGCCTTTATACAGATTTGCATTTCAGATGAATAGTTGAATGTCAGAAATAATAGAATAAAAATAAACTAAAATGTAAATAATAATCATGTTTCAAAGATATAATATCATGATTCTAGAGAAGAAAAAATGAAAAATGGAAAGTTCTGTATAGCTGTATATTTCTTTTTTCTTTCTTTTTTTAAAAAGAAGAGATCCTAGCTATAGAGTGTTTGCTTGCTGGAGAGATAGGGTTTAAGTCACCAGGTCTGGGACTTGAATTGCTGTTGTCTACATGGGAGTTCAGCGACATAGCCATTACGTTAACTGCTGGTCTCATCTTCTTACTTTTATCATACTTGTGTCTCACTTAAATAGTACAAAGTTAGCCATTTTTATCAAAAAATAAAATTTTCATTATGAAAAATCTTTTATTTGAAAGGTTTTTGCTATAGGGCACAAGCGCTCCTCAGAAAGACAGAGATAGACAGAGAAACAGAAAGTGAGAAATCACCCCCCCCCCCCAAGGTGGATGGACTATCACCTCTTTTCCATTCCTCCGTTCTCCTCTCAGGATCTTGAGCAAACACGTACCCACACCCAGCATGAGTTTAAGCCACCAGGTCCAGGACTCGAACCACAGTTGACAATATGGGAGTCCAGTAACATAGCCATTACGCCAGCCACTGGTCCCTATACATTTTTTTTAGAGGTTTTTGCTATACGGCGCGTGTGCTCACCAGAAAGCCAGAGAGGGACAGAAAGTGAGAAATCACCCCCCAGGGGGATGGTCACACCACGATCCTTTCTCTTCCATTCTCCTCTCAGGATCTTGGGCACACATGCACATGCGCCTGGCGTGAATTTAAGCCACCAGGTCTGGGACTCGAACCGCGGTCGACTACATGGGAGGCCAGCGACATAACCATTACGGTAACTGCTGGTTCTTACATGTATTTCTAAAAACATGGAATTAGGGAAAATAATAGACAAATAGATCAATGGACAGAACAAAGAGCCAACACAAACACCCATGTAAAATAGTCACTTGGGTTTTGACACTGGAGAAACAAGTCTCTTAAAAATTGATGTCAGATCTATTAGACCAGCTATATGCGAAAAAGAAAATAAAAATCTAGATCTGAAATTTACATGTAACTTTGCAAATATCAATTCAGTATAAAAGTCATAGACCATAAAAGAAAGTTTAAATAACCTTAGATTAAGATAACTTTTTAGACATAACAGCAAAGGCAAGATCCATGAAATAAATAATTAAAAAGTTAGACTTCATCGAAATTAAAATTTTCTGCTCATTTAAAGGCACTATTAGGAGAATAAAAAAATCAACCCATAGGCTTGGAGAACATAATTACAAAAGAAATATCTGATAAAGGACTGTTCTTCAATATTGAATTTTGGCTATAATATATACTATACATTGGGATGCTATTCTAAATCATTTATGAATGCACAACCAATAGGATACAGAGAATTAATTACACAATTTTTTTATCAATTACAATGTGAATAGTTTAGATAAATTAAATTGCATTATTTAAGAAATATAATCTGTGAGATGAGCAGATGCCATTATGGTTGCCCCGCTGAATTTCCACATGGCCGACCGCAGTTCGAGCCCCAAATCCAGAGGTTTGTAACTCACACCAGGCACATATGTGTGTGTGTCTAAAATCCTCAGAGCAGAATGGGGTAGAAAGAATGGCTGGATTTCATCTACCCTGGGAGATGATTCCCTCGCTTCCTGTCTCTGTCTCTTGGGTGAGTGCACACATCCTATAGCTAAACTGTGCTCTTTATAATTTGGCCTGTGCCTCAAAGCCTAATAGGTCTGGGATCGAGAGGATGGAATAATTTGCAGATGTTCTCATCTACTTATTTACAGACTCAGAAAGTACAGGGACAGAAAGGAGTGCCTAAGTATTCTCCTCATATCTTGCAATGTTCAATAATGGCACGCCACTTCTCTGCACCTGCTGCTTTTGTCAACGTTATCTCCGTAGATAGAATACGACTGAGAAAAGGACTCAAACACCAGAGGATTACATTCCCTTCAGGTTCTCTAAGCATCACAGCTCCCTCAGGACATTCTTTATGTCTGTATTTCTCAGTGTGTAGATGAGAGGGTTAAATATGGGGGCAATCATGGTGTAAAACAGAGCAAATACCTTGTCATCATTGACAGAATTAGCCATGGGAACATAGGTGAAGATGAGGGGCAAGAAGAACATGAGCACTATGGTGATGTGTGAGCCACAGGTTAAGAGGGCTTTGCAAGAGCCCTCAAGTAAATGGATCCTCAAGGTCATCAGGATTATGATATTAGAAATTACCAAGGCAACAAAGGTCAAAATATACAACATTCCTGTGGTGGCAATGAGAGTAATAACAAACAGCCCAGTGTTAGTGCAGGCCAGCTTCAGCAAAGGGATTATATCACAGAAATAGTGGTTTATCTAATTGAGGCCACAGAGGGAAGCTCAGTAACAACCAATACCTGAAGGAGGGAATGGAAAAATGCTCCGAAAACAGAAGCCAGGACCAGGACATAGCACACCCGTCTGCTCATGATGACCTTATGGTGAAAGCTGCATAGTGGTTGTAGGCTATGGCCAACAAGATGAAGATCTCAGTGGCGCCAAAGAAGTGGGCACAAAACATTGGTACTATACAGCCATTGTAGGAGGTGATGTTCCACTGAGACAGTAAGTCCATGATCAGTTTGGGGGCCCGTGGAAGTAAAGCAGACGTGCATGAAGGAGAGGTAGCTGAGGAAGAAATACATGGGTCGATCACTGAGGAAGCTGCCTCCAGTGGTGAGCAGAATGAGCAAGTTTCCTGAGAGAATTGCAAGATAGCAAAGCGAGAACAGCACAAAACGGGCAGCCTTCACATCCTCGTCACTGAAAAGTCCCAGGAGGATAAATTCTGTGACATTTTCATGTTTCAGTGCTTCTGTGGGTGAGATAATTTGGAGAGAGAGACATTAATACATATACCTGAAATACTAGACTTTTTTAAAAAAATTATTGATTCCTTTTCTTTTTTTTTATTATTTACACTTAATCACTATACTTCTTTACAGTGTACAACATGCCTTTTCCCAGCATGAATACAGTATATGGACGTCAAGACAAAGACATTACTATATTATTATTATCAGCAAATAACTTTTTTTATTTTTGTGTCAATTAAATGTATTTTTTCCTGTTTCCCTTTCTTTCTCCCCCTATTACTCACCCCCATATTACTCCTAGCCTTACTTATTTATTCAATTAATACTCACTGATTATTATGTTTCAGACAGTATTATTGGTGTTTGTTGTACAAGAATGAATTAAAAACATGTAACTTGTGCTCCTAAATAGAGTGCAGTTCATTAGAACAGACACACTGTAATGATTGCACAAATAATCAAGTAATTATAAGTTCTGAAGCCTTACACTTACCATGAACAGGGCAAAAACTTAAGAACAAAAACAAAAAAAACACTTGTTTTCAGTTCATTGTTTAGAAGCAATTTTGGTAGTGTACCATAAGAGGGTCTTTTTGATCCATTGTGTATAAAACAACCATAAGTTTACCTGTTCTTCGAGGGCAGAGGGGGCATTATAATTCTCAGCACTTCCCAGTGATTAAAACAGTTTTAAAACCCTCAGATTCAGTGATGTCCTTAAACTTCAAGGGACTCAGTATTTTGTTTAGTG